GAGGAATCTTCATTATTCATAGTTCTTGGGCTTCGTTTTTCATTATTGCTATATCGATAAGCATTTGAACGATTTGAGTTTATATATGTATTTAATTGAGCAGTGTTAGGATTTACATACAGGTGCTCAGTAGCTGCTGAATAGTTCATCTGCTGTTCAGACTGACTCAATTGTTGATGTTCTTGGTTTTCACCCGTTGTTATTTGAGTTGAAATTTGATTCACATGATGATATGAATAAGGGTAAGGAGTTGTTTGGTGAAATGGGGTGACACCACCAATCATATTTGATGCTGCTTGATTCAAATTTTGATACTCCGTTGGTTGCATTTCATAATAAATGTTTTCGTTTGAATTTATATTACTTTCCATCATCTGGTCCTTATCAATATTTCTTAGTTGTGCGAGTAGTCGTTCTCTTAATTGATTACGATGATAATCATGATCTAATGGTTGATTATCGTTCATTTTGATCTCAATTTTTTATTTTGTAAAATATATAATGTGCTAGTCACATGTAGAAAGAACAAAGCAAAGAGAATTTTGTACATACAGTCAGACGACTGTATGTATTAACTTTTAGGTATATAGAGACGACGAAAAAAGAAAAATACGTGTTGCCTGTTTCTTAGTGAAGAGTGATGGTTCCTCCGATTTCTCTGATATATCTTGCACTGTATTTCATGTTATCTATCGTAAGAAAACATGCGCTTGCAAAAGTGATACGATCAATTGCTATCAATGTTGTTTCTTTCTCTAATAATGTACGCATGTACTTTTTCAGACTCATTTATATAAGACTCATTTGGAATAATTCAGCATTCTTTTTAATTAGTTTTTTTTTCGAGAGATAGGCTTGACTCTTTCATCATTCGATAGACCATATTGAAATGGACGCACAAAAAATTTTCATCACTATCGGATAAGGTTTGACGGAAAGTTTTCAATCATCTAGCATTATCATTATTATATCTCTTCTTTATTGTAACATGACTCGTTTACACTTCTCAGTGGGACTAATACAAAATTCGACCACTTTTAAATAATAGAAAAATTTTACACAAAACAAAAACGAATTTTTCTGTAATTTGGTAGAAATAACTATAGTAGAGTGCTTATTTATATTATAATATAGAATTTTAAAAAAGTTAAAAGTCTTATAAAAAATCTTTGGCTTATTAAATTATTAAAGTAAAATATTTTTTATAATATATGACTGCGGCTCTATAAAGTTACGATTGAGGAGAGCAAAATTTTTCACTGATTCGGGCGTGGAATCGGACTTCCCTGAAACCTTAGGACTGGCATCCAGTGAGCACGTGAGAATAAGCTGATTGTGGCCGTATCTATCGAAAAAATAAAAATTCTCAGATATAAGCGGTATTTGTGCGATAAGAAGCCTATATATAAAAACAGTTCGTTATTGTATTTCCAATTGTACTGCAAAAATGGTGAAGAGAAATAAGAGAATGATCCAAATTGATGATTCAGCCTTAAAAAAGAAAACAATTTGTACCTCTTTCCAGAGAAAAAGAGCTAGTTTAAAGAACGTTGATTATAAAAAATGAACACGAGATTCAAGAATTGCATTTTTTAAAAGATGTTGTCAAGTATTTACAACAAAGTTCAAACATAAACATATCAGAATTAATATATGATGTAATCCAACATTTAAAAATTGATATTAAACCAGGATTTAAAGAAAAAATATTTCAAAATATCAAAAAACTTCTTAATGAACATTTGCCATTTAGCAGTGCAGCAAGAAACTTGTTTAATAAAACTATATTTGATGGTATTACATTTTCAGAAATAAATTTGATTATTTGATGATTTGATAATTAGTAAAACAAGATTTTACGATTATCAAAAAGTGGAGCAAGAAGATGTTGAAAAAGCCTTTTTTTATAGATATTCAAGAAGAGAAGTTGATAAAATGCAAGATGGAGAAATAGATTAAATATCATATTTTATGACCGTGGAGGACCTTGTCTGTATTTTTTATTTTTGAGAAATCTAAGTACTTTTTTCTTACAAAGTTATAAAAACGTTTCTTGTGTCCAATAAACTTCTAGAAAATGTATATCTTAATATTTTTAACTATAACTTGTCAATGTTTTTACCGAAGTTTTTAAGTTATATAC